GAAAATCAGCCTGAGTTATTCAATCTTCTTTTAGAAGATAGTAATTTAAACGCAAAAAATCTCAATGATGAAAGTCCACTTCACTATACAGTTTTGTACAATCGCCCTGAATTTGCAAAGTCACTTCTAGGTAATGGCGCCTTTATTGAGGAAAAGGATAGATATGGAAAAACGCCACTTTATGTTGCATTGTCGAAAGGAAACGTTCAAATGGCTGAAATTCTTTTTAAACACGGTGCGGTTTTAAGTGACACAGATTTAACAAATATGAGTCCTCTTCGTAACGCAGTTTTCAGAGAAAAGTTTGAAATGGTAAAGTTGCTCATGGCGAATGGATGTAACAAAGTAGATATTCCAGTAATTAATATCATTCATCTCGATTCTTGTCTTGAACTTGCAGTATCGTCCGATCGTTTGGACATTGTAGAATATCTCATAAAGAATGGCGTAAAAAGCATCGCAACAGTTAAGGAAGATAAACTAGGCTTATTTAGATCACTTGTTTTGCGAGGTAGTTTAGAGACTTTAAAATGTTTAGTCGATATTGGTATTAAAGTACAAAATTTAGATGACGTATTTAATAGTACATTTTATTTGCATCGTCATGACATGTGGAAATATTTATTAACAAGGTTGTCCAAAATTAGTGCAAACACATATTTTAAAGAAATGCAACTTCATTTCTCTATTCGAATGGGCCAAGTGGAGACTGTTAAAGTAATGGTAAATGAACCATCAGGTGAATATGAATCAAACACTTTCGCTAGAAAATTGGCCGTTTACATTGCTGTTGAAAGTGGCAGTGAAGAAATATTAAAAATTCTTCTAGACGCTGGTTATCCTGTTAAAAAAAGTCTGTTTAAATTTATAAGTCCTCTTCACCTTGCAGCTACATTCGAGCATCCGAGATTGTTAAAGCTACTCCTGGAAGCTGGAGCTAATGTTAATTTACGAACTGAAGATTGTGGCCGTACACCATTACTTTTCGCAGCAACTGCAGCGCAGCCAGCTGTAGTTAAATTTCTTCTAGAAAATGGTGCTGATCCCTTTACAACCTCTAAATTCGGTGCAGTACCATTGCATGAAGCTTTGGGGACTTATTCAGGCCTGTATCATGTCATGCCTGTTACTCCTTTAGTGTTTGAGGAATTGTTAAAAGTGACGCAGATGTTAATTCGGTATTCGAATAGTAAAATTAATGAGTACTTATTTTCAGATGCAGTTACAATGAGAGTTTCAAGTATTAATTATTCAATGCCAGTGACAAATGAAGAAATATCGGAAGTAGGTGATTGTGTATTTCGTCCTGAAATTGTTACATGCATATGTAATCATCTCAGTAATAAAAAAATCAAAAGTTGTTCTGAGAAAGTTTTAGCTGAAGGGAATTCTTCATATGTTCAGCCACCAGAGTTGTTACAACTTATGATGGAATATAATGATTCGGAATCACGTTTCTGTGCAGAAATAAACTATGCTGATAGAAATCCCAAGAGTCAATTACTCACAGTTGGTTACTCTAAAAACGTTAATATTCTTTCAAACGCTATTTATGAAATTTATAATGATTATGATGTATGCGACGCCGAAGACATCTGGAAGAATAAAGATAATTTTTTAAAATTGATAGTATGTCGTATAGTATTGTTAGATGCAGAGTATGATATAACTGAGTTGGAAGAATGTGAATTAAGTGATCTTATTGATTGGCGAGAGAAGTGTTTAATGGAGAAAAAAGTCTTGCAAAAGACGAAAGTTAATAAAAATCTGAACTTTACATTCTATAGTGTATTAACTGAGTCAATTGATAAAGTTGCAATGTACACGAGCAACAATGATTTTTTAAAAGAAATCGAATCTTCTGATAAAAAATTTCCTATATATGCTGATTTATTGAAGTCAACTGTCGAAATAGCAGAAAGGAGAAGAAATTTCATAAACGACTGTGTTAATTTAATGTTAATTTTGATTCAAAAGTGTCATAAAATTCGAATTTCTAGAAATGAAGTCAATAAAATTTTCAAATATCTCTCAATTTTAGATTTGCGAAGATTTTCAACAGCTTGTTCCTAAAATGTGATTTTTATACGTAATTAACGAAAATATTTTCTTATGTATAATTTGTTGTGCATTTTCTATTTACGAATAATATACTTTCTAAAAGTCAAATTAGTTAAGTAAACCACATCTGTTAGCCATTTTATAAAAAAGAAAAAAAATATTTTTCGAATGCTTTAAGACTTGTATTTTATTATAAAAAAATTGAGTAATAAATATTTTTTTACTATAAAAAAAACCTTTTAATTTTTAGTCTTTCACCTCTTACTACCTCTTTCTACCTTCTTACTCTACTAGTCTTCTTTTGTACTTTCCATACATTTTTCCGAATTTTCTATTGAAGTAAAACAAGTAAAATCGGCAGCAGCAAGCTGTGGAATTTTTCGGGGGCAATTAATTAATTTCAAAATTAAATGGCGAATCCAATATGGTCGAAATTTTGTTTAAAAATGTATACTCCGATTACCTTAATGTTTAAAGAATTACTACTGTAACTTACATATTAAAACTTATTTTCAAGATTTCAATTCAATTATTATTTTCTAGAAATTTTAACTAAAATATTTCTAAAATCCACTTGTTTACATGACAATTTCATGAAATTTCGAATATGAATAAAAATGTTTCAAAAAATCAACTTATTCAGAATTTTTTACAATTCAGCTTTTCTAAAACTTTAATTTGCAACTTTTTGAAATTCAATATATATTAGTAATATTAATTTAACATTCTAAAACATAGAAATAGTTATACTTATAAATTATTGTTGAAAAACGAATTAATGTTAATGCAAAATACGTTTTTTTAAACATTTATTTTCTAAGAAAAACAGATTTTTAGTATTTTTTGTTTTATTTACTTTATTTATTATTTTATTTATTATTTTTATTATTTATTACTTTATTTATTTATACTTTATTTATTTAAAAAATTAATTTTTAGAAATTTCGTATCACTTTTGTTCTAATTAGTAAATTAAATTTTTACTAATTCGTATTTGTCTTGTGATAATATTATTGAAAAAAAAATTATAAAATGATTTATTTTTCACTATATTTTATAGGATGTGAAATTTTTTGCGAGGAATTTAATTAAAATTGTATTGAAAATAATTTAATTGTTTTAAAGAATTATATTGAAGTTGATTTTATTCAATTATTATTAATAAAAATAAAAAGAATTTAAAATTAAATTTAATATTTTCTTCTTTTTAAGTCTGTCACGTTGGACAACAAAATTCAGAATTTTCTTATGAATTCTAGAAATTTAATATTTTTTTAGAACTTTTGATAAAATTTCCTGACTTTTTTATGATTTCCTTGACCTTTGGCTTTGGCAACCCTGAATATGTATTTTAAATGTTTTTTACGAAATAAAACGATTTTATAGAAAATCATTTATTCTTTTTTAATGAAAAATAATAATTAATAAGTTTTAATATTTAAATATTCCTATTTTTTCTCACAAAATAATCAGTGTTTAAAAACCGCTGCCAAGTTGTATATTTTTTTATAATTTTGGTGCTCATTTCATGAACACTTCACAGTAAATCGTTAGGTGTTAAAATAACACCAAAATGGATTAAAATAACACTAAATTGGATTATTTTAATCCTTTTTGGTGTTATTTTAATACCTAACGATTTACCGTGTTTGCTTCCTCATAGAGGAGCTAATCCGTCGGTTTAAAAATGTTATGATGGAAAAGTACATATTTAAAAAATAAAGGAAAATTTTTTATAAAAATTTTATTAGAAATAAATTAGGTTAAAAAAAATTAAATAATAAAAAATTATTAAGTGCATAATTTTTAAAATTTTATTATTATTTTTGTTATTGATAAAATAAAATCGGTCAGAAATTATTTTGACCCTTTTGAATTTTTATTTTTCTTAAAAATTGGTGGATTTAGAAATCCATGCGTAATTTTGTAGTAAATATGTTTTTGAATCAATAAAAATATTTCCAAATAAAAACTTTGATTTTCATAATTATATATAGCATTTTTTTTTTAAGAAAAATCTTTGTTTTGAGGCTGAAAATAATAAAAAATAACATTGTTATTCAATTTTTGTATATGGAAAATCATTTGTTTATTTATTTAATTTCAGGTCAAAATTTTATCCTAATTTTTCTGTGTATTTCTATTTTTCATCAATAAAAATTATGATCTGTTAAGTAGAAAAATAAATTTCGGAAAATGCGCTTCTTTAATAAAAAAAGCTGCAATGTAATGAAAAAAGCCCAAATTTAATAATCACCTTCAAAAATTATTTTAAAAAAATTTTCAACACCATAATCGTTGTTTTTCAAGCACAAATTCTTTTTGAATTTGAAATAAATTCTAAATAAGTTCTGAGTAGCTCCGTGTTTTGAAAAAAGCAATTCTTTCAAGACACGATATTCGACTCCAAAAATTGTTTCAAAAAATTCTATCAAGACCAGCGTTGTTTTCTCAAGACAAAAATATTTTTCGTAATCGGAAATAAATTCTGAAAAAATTCTGATTACTTCCGTGTTTCGGAAAAGGACTTCTTTCATAAAAAAGGATCGAATTTGATAACAAAATTTTTGATGCTCATCTACATCCCTATAGAACCATAGCGTATACTCACATATATAACTTAAAGAATTCTTTTAGGTAAAAGTAATCATCATAATTGTGCTAAAATATATGTATTTATATTAATAAAAATATAAAATATATACATTATTTAAATAAATAAACTTAAATTCTCTTACATTCTCTTAAAAAAATTAAATTACCTTAATTTTCTTGGCGAAATTGCCCCAACTTAAATTCTCGAGAATTTAAGAACAAGAGGGGTCCAAGAACCCCTAGGAAAGTAAGAATTTCTTTAAAGCTGTGGTTAGTGGTTGCCAGTGGTTGCACCTCTCTGCAGTCTGCAACAGCTGAAGTTTCCATTCTATTCCAGTTTATACATTTATGGTTATAAGTGTTTTCAACTGCCTCTTGATTTACAAATCAAAAATTCTATAAATTGTAAATAAATACTTACATAAAATAAGTATATATATTAGAAAATCTTGTTTTCTATAATCCAAAATTCCATCATTAGTTTAATGTTTCGTCACGGAAAATCGTCCAGTTTATAAAAGCGATATGTTAATATTGCATTAAGCATGGTTAGTATTTTTAATAGAAACTAATTTAATTATTTATTTGTTTTTAATTTTTTTTAAATATAAGTATATCGACAATAAGTTAAGTTAACAATAACACAAAAACTTTGATCCTTTATATTTTTTTGACATTTTTGCACTACACATTTTGAGTGCATGTGAGAATAAATATATTTCAAATTAAATTTAATTAAATAATTAATATATCAGCTCAAATCAACATATCAAAATTAAAATGTATACAATTTTTTATAAGAATTAAAACAGATACAATACAATTCTTCCCAAAAATTCAATTATTTTCAAAAACATCAAAATTTTTCACAGAAATTCAATTCCTTTTTAAACATTTTAATAAAATTCTTATGAATAATTCAATTTTTTTCATAAATAATAAAATTCTTCTCAGGAGTTCAATTATTTTTAAAAATTTTAATAAAATTCTTTGCAGCTATTCAATTATTTTCATAAATAATAAAATTTATCGCAGGATTTCAATTATTTTTCATACAATTCTTCCCAAAAATTCAATTATTTACATAAATAATTCTTCGATAGAATTCAATTATGTCAATAAATAAGAAAATTATTCCCGAAAATTCAATTCTTTTTGAGGCATTTTAATAAAATTCTTTGCAAAATTCAATTATTTTTATAAATAATAAAATGCTTTTTAGGAAATCAATTATTTTCATAAATGATGAAATTCATCGGAGGATTTCAATTATTTTTATTACCATTTTACTGGAATTGCTCAAAAAATATAATTATTCTTAAAAACTAAATTTCAATTTCTCAAAAAAATCAATTATTCAGAAAAAAATTTTTTTTTAAATTCTTTGGAAAAATTCAATTATTTACAGAAATATTAGAATTTTCGACAGGAATTCAATTATTTTCAAATATTTTAATAAAATTTTTCAAAAGAAATAAATTATTCTAATTAAAATTAGATTTTTTTGAATTAATTCAATTATTCTTTTAGATTTTAATAAAATTCTTAACAAAATTAAATTATTTTCATAAATAATAAAACTTATTGAAGAATTTCAATATTGCATCTAAAGACACTACTTTTCTTCTTTAAAATACATTTTGAAAATTTAAAATATTTTCGTTTTAGTCTGAGTATTCGTTCATTCTGTTTACTGAGTTTGGCAAATTCTTTGAAAACTGAGTAAGAACAGACAAAACTTCGATAATGAAGAAGAATATTACTACAAACCAGGATATAAATTTCAAATACTTCTGCGTATTTTCGGTACAGCTGAATACGAATACGATGTCAGATTTACCAAATCGTCTGCCATATACGATCCGCCATTTCTGAATTTTGGAAATCTGACATAGAATTTGTATCCAGTCATACCGAAAATCTGCAGAACTATTTGCAATTTAGATGTTTGTAGTTAAATTCTTCTAAATTATCGAAGTTTTGTCTATTTCTACTCAATTTTTGTAGAATTTTCCAAACTAACTAACAAATGAAAATTTTTTAAATATCCGAAATGAAAAAAATCGAAAAACTGAGTTTATTCAAAATTTCATATACTGATTTTTTCTTTCTTGTCTTAAAATTATTGTATGGCTTTACTGAGACAATACCAAAAAAATTGGATGGGCAAGAACTTTTGGGTTTTTATTCGAAGTTCACCTTGTTGCTGCAGCTAGTCTTTTTTTACAAAAACTCCAATATCTCCGGAACCAGATGAGTCTTCATAAATTTTGGTTTATTAAATTAAAGGTGAATTCATAAGGATTCCAAATATGTTAATGACATTTTTCTCAGAAAGGAGTAAATAATGAAAAAATTGTTTAAAATTTTTTTTTTTTATTTAAAAACTAATTTTTTTATTAACATTATTTTTATTATAAACAATAGTCAAGGATATTCAAAACTTTATGAAATTAATATTAAAATTCAAAATGTCAATAAAATCCCAGCTTAAAATCCCCGTACAGGATCCTTAAAGGACCCTCTCGGGATCCTATACCCGTCCTGTACAGGATCCCGTACGGGATTTTGGGACAGGGTTCCGATGCAGGAACCTTAGCTATCAAAGGTTCCTGTACAGGAACACTTGGAGGATCCTGAACAGGAAACTTTTTAATTTTTTAAATTTTTATATGTTAATCAACATTTGACATACATAGACTTCATATTTCATTATGTTAGGCTCGTATTACTATGTTGGACAGGAAAATGTATTGCGCATTCGAGAAACTCATAGAAAACTACTGCGCAGGAGTTAAAAATATAAATAAATTAATTGAGGAAACTGTAGGATCCTTTACGGGTTCCTTTATACTTAAATACCTGCAGTTTACAAAACTGTAAAGGTTCCTGTACATGATCCTGCAAGTGTTCCTGTACAGGAACCTTTCATAGTTAAGGTTCCTGCACAGGAACCCTGTCCCAAAATCCCGTACGGGATCCGGTCGGGATCCTGCGCAGGATCCCGAGAGGATCTTTTAAGGACCCTGTACGGGGATTTTAAGCTGGGATCTCTTTTTCGATAATATTATTAAGTTATTGGGTCTATTAATTATTTATAGATCAACTGAAGTATTTTTGTATTTGTTTCTTTAGGTAAAAAGGAAACTTTTTTCTGCCCGGCGCTCAATAATATTACCAGATTAAAAAATATCTTAACAAATCGCGGCCAGGCTAGTCGATAAGTCACCTTAAACCCTATATTTAATATTTTTACACTTTTGGGTACTTTTTGTTACAGAATATTTAAGTGGAGCAATGCTTCCTATTTGAGATTACAAATCACCACAGTAAACTACCTTCGAATCCAAATCTTCTATTTGTTGTCATGGATTTTGGAAATGATTACAACGACACCTCTGAGTACAATGAATTGTTTCTCGCAGTCCACAATGGAGAATTGAATCTTGTCCATTCTTTGCTCAAGAAATATTCGGCGACGAAAACGATACGTGGCAGGACATTGCTGCATGTGGCGACTGCAAGAGGACACGCAGCAATAGCAAAACTGTTCACAAGCACCAAGCGAGACGGAAGAGGGAATACACCGCTGCATTTGGCGATTAGGGAAAATCAGCCTGAGTTATTCAATCTTCTTTTAGAAGATAGTAATTTAAACGCGAAAAATCTCAATGATGAAAGTCCACTTCACTATACAGTTTTGTATAATCGCCCTGAATTTGCAAAGTCACTTCTAGGTAATGGCGCCTTTATTGAGGAAAAGGATAGATATGGAAAAACGCCACTTTATGTTGCATTGTCGAAAGGAAACGTTCAAATGGCTGAAATTCTTTTTAAACACGGTGCGGTTTTAAATGACACAGATTTAACAAATATGAGTTCTCTTCGTAACGCAGTTTTCACAGGAAAGTTTGAAATGGTAAAGCTGCTCATGGCGAATGGATGTAACAAAGTAGATATTCCAGAATATACTTTCGTTCATCTCGAATCTTGTCTTGAATGTGCAGTATCGTCCGATCGTTTGGACATTGTAGAATATCTCATAAAGAATGGCGTAAAAAGCATCGCAACAGTTAAGGAAGATAAACTAGGCTTATTTAGATCAGTTATTTTGGAAGGCAGTTTAGAGACTTTAAAATGTTTAGTCGATATTGGTATTAAAGTACAAAATTTAGATGACGTATTTAATAGTACATTTAATTTGAGTCGTCATGACATGTGGAAATATTTATTAACAAGGTTGTCCAAAATTAGTGCAAACACATATTTTAAAGAAATGCAACTTCATTTCTCTATTCGAATGGGCCAAGTGGAGACTGTTAAAGTAATGGTAAATGAACCATCAGGTGAATATGAATCAAACACTTTCGCTAGAAAATTGGCCGTTTACATTGCTGTTGAAAGTGGCAGTGAAGAAATATTAAAAATTCTTCTAGACGCTGGTTATCCTGTTAAAAAAAGTCTGTTTAAATTTATAAGTCCTCTTCACCTTGCAGCTACATTCGAACACCCGAGATTGGTAAAGCTACTCCTGGAAGCTGGAGCTGATGTTAATTTACGAACTGAAGATTGTGGCCGTACACCATTACTTTTCGCAGCAACTGCAGCGCAGCCAGCTGTAGTTAAATTTCTTCTAGAAAATGGTGCTGATCCATTTACAACCTCTAAATTCGGTGGAGTACCATTGCATGAAGCTTTGGGGGCTTATTCAGGCGTGTATCATGTCATGCCTGTTACTCCTTTAGTGTTTGAGGAATTGTTAAAAGTGACGCAGATGTTAATTCGGTATTCGAATAGTAAAATTAATGAGTACTTATTTTCAGTTGCAGTTACAATGAGAGTTTCAAGTATTAATTATTTAAAGCCAGTGACAAATGAAGAAATATCGGAAGTAGGTGATTGTGTATTTCGTCCTGAAATTGTTACATGCATATGTAATCATCTCAGTAATAAAAAGATCAAATGTTGTTCTGAGAAAGTTTTAGCTGAAGGGAATTCTTCAAATGTTCAGCCACCAGAGTTGTTACAACTTATGATGGAATATAATGATTCGAAATCACGTTTCTGTGTAGGAATAAACTATGCTGATAGAAATCCTAAGAGTCAATTACTCACAGTTGGTTACTCTAAAAACGTTAATATTCTTTCAAGTGTTATTTATGAAATTTCTAATGATTATGATATAAACGACGACGAAGACATGTGGAAGAATAAAGATGATTTTTTAAAATTGATAGTATGTCGTATAGTATTGTTAGATGCAGAGTATGATATAACTGAGTTGGAAGAATGTGAATTAGATGATCTTATTGATTGGCGAAAGAAGTGTTTAAAGGAGAAAAGTGTCATGCAAAAGACGAAAGTTAATAAAAATCTGAACTTTACATTCTATAATGTATTAACTAAGTCAATTGATAAAGTTGCAATGTACACGAGCAACAATGATTTTTTAAAAGAAATCGAATCTTCTGATAAAAAATTTCCTATATATGCTAATCTTTTGAAGTCAACTGTCGAAATAGCAGAAAGGAGAAGAAATTTCATCAACGACTGTGTTAATTTAATGTTAATTTTGATTCAAAAGTGTCATAAAATTCGAATTTCTAAAGTTGAAGTCAATAAAATTTTCAAATATCTCTCAATTTTAGATTTGCGAAGATTTTCAACAGCTTGTTCCTAAAATGTGATTTTAATACGTAATTCACGAAAATATTTTCTTATGTATAATTTTTTAAGCATTTTCTATCTACGAATAAGGAAATTTTTATTTAAAGATTCGTTCTCGTATTAATGTAATAAAAAGTGAATTTAATCTGCAAGGGTTAACTGAAATGAAAAAATTAAAAATTTTGTTAATCTGTGCCATTTTGGCAATCGTATAGAAAATTAGACATTCGAGAAACATACTTTCTAAAAGTCAAGTTAATTAAGTAAAAGACATCTGATAGCCATTTTCTAAAAAAGAAAAAATATTTTAAATAAAAAGTATTATTATTTATAAAAAGAATATTTTTCGAATGCTTTAAGACTTGTATTTTATTGTAAAAAAAATAAGTAATAAATATTTTTTTACTATAAAAAAAGATTCCTGAAAAACCTTCCAATTCAATTATCTTCTAGAAATTTTAACTAAAATATTTCTAAAATCCACTTGTTTACAAGACAATATCATGAAATTTCGAATAATTTGAAAGTTTTTCAATTAAATATATATTTAAAAATATAACTAATTTAGAAAGAATATGAATACAAATGTTTAAAAAAATTAACTTATTATTTTTTACAATTCAATTTTTCTAAAACTTTAATTTGAAACTTTTTGAAATTCAATCTAAACCTACTTCTAAAACATTGTAATACTTATATACTTATAAATTATTGTTGCAAAACGAATTAATATTAATGCAAAATACTTTTTTTAAACTTTTATTTTCTAAGAAAAACAGATTTTTATTTATTTTCATGTTTTATTTACTTTATTTATTATTTAAAAACTTAATTTTTATAAATTTCGTATCACTTTGTTCTAATTAATAAATTAAATTTTTACTAATTCGAATTTGTCTTGTGATATTATTATTGAAAAAAATTTAAAAATTGATTTATTTTTCACTATTTTATAGGACGTGAAATCTTTTCGACGAATTTAATTAAAATTGTATTAAAAATAATTTAATTGTTTTAAAGAATTATATTAAAGTTGATTTTATTCAATTATTATTATTAAAAATATAGAAAGAATTTAAAATTAAATTTAATATTTTTTTTAAGTCTGTCACGTTGGACAACTAAAATTCAGAATTTTCATATAAATTCTAGAAATTGAATATTTTTCAAGAAGTTTTCATGATTTCCCTGACCTTTGGCTTTGGCAACCCTGAATACGTATTTTAAATGTTTTTTTACAAAATAAAACGATTTTGCAGAAGATCATTCAATCTTTTTTAATGAAAAATAATAATTAATAAGTCTTAAAATAAATAGGGGAGGGTAGGCTACATTGAACCGGGTATTTTATAAAGTCCAAGAACTAATAAAATTTTACTAATTTCGATCAGGTTTTTGTATCAAAATTAAGCTGAAGTACTCCTTTAGTTAATACACACGTTACAAACACAAATTATTAGGATTAAATAATTAAATTTAATTTTTTTCTAACAAGTCACACTTTTCTTATTTTGAAGGATGTGTGTCTACATTGAACCACCTCTAATAAAACACTACAATTTACTTCAAAAATAATATTTCCACTTACACATTGTAAAAAATCTTCCCACATAGCACAATAGTATGAGGTAAGGTTATGTTGAGTACTAATCGTAAGGCACATAAGGTTACACAATATTGCTGCGGTAGACCTGAGGTGAACTAAAAACTTCCGCCATGGAGGTAAGGTTACATGTTAGGGTGTGGTGAGTATATATGATAAGGCCATGGTAACCTTACACGTTAAGGTTAAGGTAACCTTACACGTTAAGGTTGATGTAACCTTACACGTTAAGGTTGAGGTAACGTTACATGTTAAGGTTGAGGTAAGGTTACATGTCAAGGTTGAGGTAAGGTAATTATTAAGTTGTAAGGTTGAGGTAAGGTTAAGGTAAGGTTGTGATAAATTTACCAGTTATGGAAAATATTGAAAAAATAATTAATAAATAAATATTCAATTAAAAAGTTAGTTTGTTGCTCCTCTCTATTTTGGAAACCTGACATGAAGCAGAAAATTTTGAAAACAAATTTGGGGGGACTGGGATTTGAACCCGGGATCGACGCGCATAAACCTATCATTCTAACTAACTGAGCTAAGTAGAGAACTGGTAGAAGGAAAATTAATATTGCCTTTAAGGAGTTAATCATCTTCTTGGTTCACCTTAAAGGCAACATTAATTTTCCTTCTGCCAGTTCTCTACTTAGCTCAGTTAGTTAGAATGATAGGTTTATGCGCGTCGATCCCGGGTTCGAATCCCAGTCCCCCCAAATTTGTTTTCAAAATTTTCTGCTTCATGTCAGGTTTCCAAAATAGAGAAGAGCAACAAACTAACTTTTTAATTGAATATTTATTTATTAATTATTTTTTTAATATTTTCCATAACTGGTAAATTTATCACAACCTTACCTTAACCTTACCTCAACCTTACAACTTAATAATTACCTTACCTCAACCTTGACATGTAACCTTACCTCAACCTTAACATGTAACGTTACCTCAACCTTAACGTGTAAGGTTACATCAACCTTAACGTGTAAGGTTACCTTAACCTTAACGTGTAAGGTTACCATGGCCTTATCATATATACTCACCACACCCTAACATGTAACCTTACCTCCATGGCGGAAGTTTTTAGTTCACCTCAGGTCTACCGCAGCAATATTGTGTAACCTTATGTGCCTTACGATTAGTACTCAACATAACCTTACCTCATACTATGGTGCTATGTGGGTTATTTTCCACTCAAAAAAATAGAAAATTGTTATTTAATTGTTATTACTTGTTAATATAGGAGATTAATGTATTTTAATGTCAGGTTAGGTAGGTAAAGTGACAGTTTGAGTTTATCTCGTTCACAATTGTGATGAAAGCATGTCTTCCAGTATTTTTCTTACTAATTAGTAGAGCAGACAATTTTACAACTCTTAAAATTGAAAATTCTTTGCTTTTTCGGGTGGTTCAATGATGCCGCACTCACTGTATTCACATGACATTCACAACAAAAATTGTTTATAATAAATTTGTGTAAGATTTAAAGTTCTTTATCACATCGGAATATTGAAGTTGACACCCTAAGCGAAATAAATCGCAAGTTTACTAATTTTTAAAACTTCCTATTTCAATAAAAAAACGTCATTATAATTCCACCAAATTTTTTGTTTTGTACGTGAAAAACAGTTTTTTTAGTTTTTCTTTGTAAATAATAAACCTACGTGCCCGAAATTTTTGGACATAGTTTGTTTCAGTAAAACTAACTTACATATTAAATAAGAAAAAATTTCACTCAGTCATTTCTCAGAAAATTGAAGTGGTTCACTGTTGACGCTGGTTCAATGTAGCCTACTCTCCCCTATTCCTATTTTTTCTCACAAAATAATCAGTGTTTAAAAAAAATACTTTTTAAAAAAAATTCCAAAATCCCCGGTCAAGATAAAAATTTACTGTTATTTCCCGGTTTTCCGGTCATATTGGATTCACCATTTTGAAATTTGAAAATCTAGTATTAGGTTCTTAATCAGCGACCCCGAAAACTCCTGGATATCAAGTTTTATAAAAACCCATTAATTAAAAAAATTGCCTACTTCCATATTGGATCCGCCATTTTGAATTTTGCAAATCTGACATCAGATTCGTGATCAGTGACCCCGAAAACCCCTAGATACAAAGTTTCATGAAAATCCATATCGAATTTTTAAATTTCGGTTCGCCATTTTGAATTTTCAAAATCTGACACATCAAATTCGTAATCAGCGACCCCGAAAACCCCCGAGTAACAAGATTCAAGTAAGTCCGAACAATTTTTGTATTTCGTCCGCCATATTAGATCCGCCATTTTGAAAAACTAACATCGGATTCGTAACCAGCGTCCCCAAAAACCTCCAAGTAACGAGTTTCAAGCGAATCTGATCAATTTTTAAAAAAGGCGTCCGCCATATTGGATTCGCCATTTTGAATTTTGAAAATCTGAATTTCCTGAATAAATATTTAGTAGGATCAAAATTAATGATAGGAACAAGATAAAAAATCAGGAAATGGTTTTATTAAATAAATATATGTATCAATTTTAGATTCAAATATTTAACAAATATTTTATTTAATAACATAAATAATTTAAAATTTACATTATTCACATTGATTAACATTATGTCCAAGGTAAAAAATTTGAGTACATAAATGTACCTACTATAATGTAGCTTAAAAAGTAACCAAGAATAAGTATATCTGGCTTCGAGTATGTTTTTTGTGTTAAAAGAAACACTTTCCATTTTGAATCCAAATTACAACTTTCCTCAAATTCTGCAAATTTTGTTTTATAAGATAAAGCAAAGGCACAATACCAAAATATCACAGGACTTGCAGATACTAATAATCTTGTACTAATTTGAATGTGTACAATAAAAATACAAAAACATGTTAAAAATAAACTATGTACAACAAAGGGAAACATTTCCAATGGATATAGACTCTTAACTGTCTTTTCCTTTTCTTCTTTTGTACCAAAAATACTTAAACCTAATATTTCACTTTTATGTTCCCTTAGAAATTTTATATTAAATTTTAACATGATATACAAAATAGGAAAAGCGAGTAAAAATTGTGGTATTTGCTTTAGTTGATAGTATTTTAGAAAACCGACGTTCCAGTATTTTTCCTGAACGTACGAATAAGCTAATGGTATTGCGGAATCGCACCAAGGTGAACGAAAATTTCCAGGTAGAACAAGATCGTTTTCAATAGCATAATGTACAATGTAAGGAGGTAAGTCAGTTGTGTTTGCCCGAGGAATGCAAAATTTGGAATAATTATAAATTTGCAAGAGACCGAAAGGTAGAATTGATAAAATAATAATTGTCCCTATCTGACAAATACTTAGGCAAATGTGTCGCAGGTCAAAAATTGAAGACCACTTTGATTTATATTCTGAAATAAAATTAGGAATCGCAGTGTTCATTATACTTTTCATCCAGTTATAAGCCGGAAAGCCCAAATTCGTTAAACCATTCGAACGAACCAAAGTTGACAGACTTAATGGTAAAAATACATAATAATTATTTTCAACACTCGCTAACATTGTTCGAAATGTTAATAAAGCAAACAATGATTCAGAATATGCGGCAGTGAAGAAAATACTCGCTGGATTTAAACAATAGAGTATTGTTGCTTTATAGGCTAGGGAAACATCCTTTAAAACATGTAAACTGAGATCGAATAAAATTACCGCAGATTTAATGAAACAGATAAAATTAATGACAACAGCTGTTAAAATAATTATGCTGTGATCATTGAGAACGAAAAGAATTGCCCTTAATAGCATAG